AGCTGAATGTCCCGACCTTTACCGAGTGTCCGTGTTCAGCCAGCCTCGGGACCAAACCATCACAGTGTCTGCGTGGACCAGACCTTTGACAGACAGCTCACTCTGAGGATTCACATTGAGAAACGGTGGCATTTCTCAAGCCTTAATAGTATGAACACAAAGGACAAGGGCCAGAGGATTCATTGGTCAGATTATGACAGTAATGTGAGTTACAGGTCACAAAAATAGCTGATTTCAACAGTGACATCACTGGTCGACCTACGTTTAATACAAGCTTAAGTAAATAACAAATAAGTATGAAATTATTTTAAATCAAATCAAGCGATTTATAATTTTTGTAACTGCTTATGAAGTTCTCTTTGTACTGTTACTAATACTGCAACTATTCCTCTGCTTCCTGTACTACTACAGCTACACATACTGGTAGTCGTCTCCTCTAATACTCTGCTACTGTTACTACCAGTGAATGATGTTTTTACCTGCAGTGTTAACATACCTGCACTTTTTTTCATAATTTCTATTTGATGCTGTTTGATACTGTCAGAGTTCACTTGATTTCTTTCACAGGTATAGGTATAAGTTAACTCGAAGATTATGCTTTTACAGTTACAACTGGTCCCTGATCTCTTTGCTTCGCTTCAGACAGGTGTGTGTCGCCTCCTGCTGGTCACTGGGATGAACTACATGTTGACCCGCCCAGGTGATGACATAGATCAACTTTCACATCAGACACTAAATATTGATCATGTGTGGTGTCACATACAGCAGTAACATCCCTGCATATCACTGTTGCTCTTGTACTGTGTTTTTTAATGTTTCTAAATGTTTGGATTTTGTGCTATAATCTTCGGAATCAGCTTTATTGGCCAGGTGTGTCGGACACACGAGGAATTTGACTCTGGTACATCAGCTCTCAATGTGCATGTACATATCCCCATGCAAGGGGCAAGTAAACAGTAAACCGGCATAAGGCTGTGTAATATAACAAACTAAGCAGTATTAATAGCAACAAACAGGGAAAATAAGCAGTATAAACAGGCGGTAAGCAATGCAGACAGACAAAGGAATGTTCATTGTGAAATGAGATAAATAGAAATAAAAACAGAGTACATAAAAGTAGAGACCTGTACGAGTCTGTATAGTCTGTACAATGTATATTTACAGGTGCTGCATTGAGGGTTATTGTCCAGTCATACTGTCGTGGGTTAAGTGTTCATCAGAGTGACAGCCTGGGGGAAGAAACTGTCCCTGTGCCTGGTTGTCTTGGTGCACAGTGACCTGTAACGC